AAACTCTTTTAATTTGTTTCCAAACTTTTGTTCTGTTTCACTTGTATTGTTAATCTCGTTATAGACTTTAGAGCCCAGTATTTAACATGCGATTCTTTGATCATGTATTCCGCGGCTTTTCGTTAGATTGATAGAACTTCGTTGTATTGTTGTTTCAGTTTACGATCGATCGTTCGATAGATTGATTGACTGTCAGAATAATCGTTATTTTCGTCATTGATTGTGGTTCGTGGTCGATTACTTCTCAAGAATAAAGATTTGTGCAAACAGTCAACTTTGGGTTGTGATTTCGATCAGTAAATAGTCCCAAACACCTCGTTAACCGCGTTTTGGAGCGACACGCTCTTGAACTTTAGAATTTAGATTTTGGTCGCCGTAAACGCTACAAAATCCATTTACGAGCGATCCTTTACGATTGAGTGAACCTTCTATTGAGTAACATCGAGCGGAACCTTCCATATCAAACGAGCTATCTCATATTATGTTTACATGTAAACACAACCGTGTAATTAGACGTGATCGAGAACCCAGTCAAATAGAAGAAGCTGCTCTGAAACGTCTCAGAAGAAAGGGCAGAAAACTGAAGGAATTTGTTTATGAGTGCATTCGTCCAAGCATACCAAATTCCTCGTGGTTACGTCGTTATGTGAAGGTTAGAAGAGTTACTAAGAATGTTTGTAAGCTTAATACGAAGAGGGCAAGATTAAATAAAGTCACACAAATGAATAGAAGTATTTGTTGAATTGTTTTGTGAGGGTATATCAAAGGATAAGCTCTTTGATTTACAATAATAAACAAGGAATCAATTCTGCTAATGATCCCGTCTCAATAATCAGTATTGGAAATCAGTTGTATTCAAGTTTGTCTCAGTTAACCGGACAATCATTTTTAATGCAGACAGAATTACCCACACTTTTAAATGTGTTCGAGACGACTATGAACTTCAATACAGTGAAAGTTACACTGGCACTATTCATCAAGAAGCTACGATAGTAGGATATCAGCACTGTACCTCCTTAGATAGAGCCTTTCAATCACTTATATCCAAAAACTTCAACAGTAATGTCTTGACTATAGGTTGTACTGCAGTAGCTATCTACTGTAAAGGCAATGTTGGCTTGAAAAATTATATTCTATTCTCATGCAAGGGATATTTATGGTTAGAAGCCTTTCTCAAGGTACATGTGTGCTGCTTGAAGTATCATCACTGAATAGCTTAGTGCATTATTTTCAGAGTATACATAACAATGACATATTTGAGTTGAAA